ATGTTCTGTATTTCATTTCTATTGCTTCTGAAGCACTAGAAGCAGTGATTTCCGAGTAGCTAGTTTATGGGAAACGCTCTGATTGCTGCATTTTTGGCATTACGTTTCTATAGAGTTACATGAAAGCCTCAGTTATCTGGTTATGAAACTAAATAACCTTTCTAGATGACCTAACTTTCCAATTACTATAATTTAAAGGTAGTGGGTTTTGTATTTAATAGCTGAATGGTGGATAAATAGTTGTGTTTTTTTTTCTTTCCTTTTAAGAGCTCCAGGATACCCTCGCCGCAGGATGGGACGAATAAATCACTGGGGCGGCGGCCCCAGTCCGCCCCCGATGGCAGGAGGTGGATGAGGAAGGTAATTTCAGACCTGTGGATGCGCAAAGTGTGCTATAGATTTTTAAACACAGACTATAAAATAGATGAATATATATATATACACGCACACACACGTATATATATATATACACACACACATACCCCTGGAGCTTTTCCTTTCTTCTTCTTTTTTTTTTTTTTGCTAAGTTAGAGTTCAATTCAGATTACTAGTAGCTGAAACTTTTTTTTTTGCCTTTCTTTTGCTTGATATACAAAAAAAAACCAGGATTATTTATAGCAAACATTTGCTGATGAAAAGGATGATTAGCAAAGACAATAAAAGATGCTTTTCCTTCTCTTAGTGACAGAGCTGTGTAAGCCTTGTATTATAGCATACAAACCAGAATTGCTTAGAAAGGGGGGAGACCTTTTAGAAATTCCACTTTTACCTTGAATTTCTTGCCATTGATTCAAACTGTTAATTCAGTGTAAGCCTTGTTCAGTTAGTTAATTCAGCTGGGGCGTATTTCATCTGATGTTGAATTTATATAGCATGGTTCTAGCTCCTTAGCAGTTGTCTCTGACAAGTCTCATTTAGCCACATTAAGAACACAATTTATTTTTAAATTGTTACTTGCATAGTTTTATCTCATAAGGGAAGGGCATCCTTGTCGTTTCTGACGTGCCACCTCTTTTCTATGTCCTGCAGGTAAACGCCTGCTGCGAGCGGCAGGCGATGGAGCGTGCGCGGAGGAGCTCGCTGCCGGACCAAACGCGTTTGTTGTGGACGCGCACGCCAGCCGGACGCTGCCCCGCGGCACAGGCGGGCTGATGAAGCTGTGCTGGGAACTCCCGCAAGGATCCAGCGCAGCCGAGCTGCGGTGTTAGTGGATACGTGTTTCCTGTCCGTCTAACGTCTTTGTATAGTTTCTGAACATTTTACTGTAGCTGTGAGATAATAACTAAATTATATTTGGCTTGTCACAGCGCTGACTTTCTCGTCATTTTTATTAAGAAAAGCGGAATC